TTATTTATGCAAAGTCACCAACTAATAAGTGGGCAAGTTGGGTAACACCCAGATTCCCTTAATGTTGATGCTTTCAGCTACAATATTACCTTATTTCCATTTCAACCTCATAGGCAAGCCAGGCAACGCAATTCACAGCACCCTCCTTTTTTCCTACCTTCAATCTAGTGAGTACATGGGTCCTTAATACTTGCTACATCTACCTGATTCCTTTACCTTTAAGATCTGAACACAACCTCCCTCTCTCCATCATAAACATTTAATGAGTACCTACCTTGGTTGAGTATTAAATATATCTAAGTCATTCCATTGGGAAGAAGAGGAAATGGGGAGACACACATGAGTAAGAATGACATAGTCCGTTCCTTCAAAATGCTCTACAAGATTAGTCACAACTTGGTAGAGTAATCTCATATTATCTGTTTAAAATTGTGATTTTATGAATATGCAGTACAAGAACATCCAATTACTTTCCATTATTAACGCACATCTTATTTCTCCTTATTTCTCCATGAGGGCAAGGACTTTTGTCTCTTTCGTTCACTGATGTACTGTGAGCGCCTAGAATGGCACCTGACACAAAAGGTACTTCATGAATACTTGTTGAGTGAACGAATACTAGAGAAACACCCATAAGTAGTAAGATCCAAGGAATGTTTCCAACAATGATGTGACAGAATATGTAAACCTTTCCTTGTCCTAATGCTTATGCCTAATGTCCATTTTTATATTTCTTTGGCCAGTTACTTGGGCCTTGCATTACAGGGAACTAAAAATAGTTCAGAGTTGGATAATTATACTGTTTAACATCATGCCCAACCCAACTGCACCAAACTCTAGAAAATCTGCCAAGAAAGGAAACCTACAGGCCCTTCTCCAGCTTAGACCCCAGCCCTTTTTCAAATATAAAGGGTCTCCTTTCTTTCTTTCTTTCAACAGGTCAGAAGTGGTATTATCATCATCATTTTACATAATGAGGTAACTGAAGCCAGAGAACGGGTGGCACAGGGATTCATTCACTCTCAGCATCTCTATTCTTCCCACCGCACCATGGGCCTCTTACCCTTCGAGGTTCTTCTCCCACAATCTTGGCCGTAGGTGGAAGACAATCTCTCTTGGTCCCCTCTTCCTTACCGCCCCCATAACAAGCACACAGGCTCTCGGTTTTAAAGGATTTGCTATTAATCAATTCAAGGTAACAAAGAGAAGATGACAAAAATAAGAAATCTGGAGATGTTACAATTCAATATTCAACATGTGTGTTTAAATGCCTGGCACTACGTAAAAACCACAGCATCTTTCCAAGTTCTTGGTGAGGCTCCAATCTACTGGCTCTCTTTTGAAATATCAAATAGGAGCCTTGCTCGGTTTCCAAAAATTTTCCCTCCCCACTACCTTCCCTCTATCCTTCCAAGACACAAAATATGTTACGGGGGGGGGGGGGGGGGGGGGGGAAGTGGGTACATCTCCATCAAGTGAGAAATTTGCACTTCCGAGGACCTGCAGGAGTCACACCACTCTGTGAAACTTTAACCCACAGCAGGGGTGACTGCTTTAGACCATTTCCTCACAACGTGAGCAACTGTTCTCTTCTCTTTTAGTGGAATACACAGAGCTCCCAGTTTCCATTAAAGTCTGAGCAACGCCTTAGCTCCAAAACGAAAATCCCTATCATAAGTTCTCCTCCTAAATCCCCTTCCATCAAAACGTATTCTTCATCATAATATCCTTATTTTTGTTCACAGCATCACTATCCTCCCAAAAGTGTGCCTTAGGCCCATACTCAAGTCAGTTCCCAATGTCAATGCCAACATTTCTCAAATCTGTACGTTTCACTACAACCCCACCATCATCACTTCTTGCCCCAACTACTCTAATTAAACTTCATGGAATTCCTTCATAGCTTCAAGCTTCCACTCCTTCACTGGACTTCTTCTCCAGATTAATATCCATAAAAAGGGGTTCTTTTCAACTAAGAATCATGTACAAAACCCTCAGACTGGTATTTAAGGATCTCCATAATCTGTATCCATCTATCCTTACCAGCCTGTTCTTAAACATACAACCTTGGCAAATATTCTCTGCTTTCCTAACTCCGTACCTTCACCTGGACAGCATCCTTATGTGGAACTATCTTTCTTCTCCCATCCTCCTCCAACTGCTAACAATCTTTCAAATGGCCACATCCTCAATGAAAGGAAAAAGGCTGAGACATATCATTTATTGAACACACATTCTATCTAGTGCTTTACAAATTATCCTAATCTCCACAAAAACATAATGGTTTAATTCTAGACTTTTGAGGAAGGAGTTGAGGACACTGAAGGCTAAAAGAGCTCACCCAAGGTCATCCAAACCAGCAAGTAAAGAATCCAAAATAACCCAATAGCATTCTGTATTTTTTAACAAAACGTGACGACAAGACGGACAGCCTTTACAGCCAGGATGCCTAGCTTCAAATTCCAGTGACTCCACTAACAACCTGTGTGAACTCAGAAAACTGCGTACTTGTGATGCCTTTGTCTCCCCACCCATTGTACTACCTACCGCACGGGTAACAGCAAGAATTACATGAGATAATATAAAATGCTTAGAATTGGACTGGGCTCACCGTAAACAATCAACGCTAGCTATTATTACTGTTGTTATATATATGCTATGATAGGTAAACTCTGACAATACCAATTATATATTCTCATTGTTTCCAGATCAACTTCTGCACAAAGCAAAAGCTTTGTGAAAGTTTAGTACTATATTTTTGATATGTGCTCAATAAATACACGAATTTTTAAACAATGACTAACCACCATCTTTTATTAACAGAAATTCACTTGTCTATTAATCCTGTTTCCTCTTTTGAGAAAACTAAAATGCTCACTAACTTTCTTCCCTTTTTCATGTCATGTGAAACCACCATGTGCAACACCATATGGTAGTAATATGTCAAATGGTGCAAAACACTATTTTGATTCAAACTCATTTTGTCTTCTGCTAAACATTATTAATTCCCAGATTTTAAAATGTCCAAAATCGTACTTTTTATTTAAACATCCACCGTTTTTAGGTCATAACAACATGAAGTGAGCATACCATGATATTTTATCAAGCCATTTCATTTCCTACAGCTTCATGGTAAGACGTACAAAATGTAAAATGTCTTCCTATCCAACTTAACTCGATGACATAAACATATCATACCTTAGTCTTGCTCTTACTTTGCTAAAAATAGTGCCTGAAAAACTTCTGATAAATCCATGTTACTCGGGATGCAGAAAAACATTAAAGGAAGGGAGTTGAATGCTAGTAACAGTTTAGGACCCTCCAAAATGCTTAAGAGAAATGAGCTTTAGACAAGGATAGATGAGAACTTCCTCCAAATCCTCCAGTACTAAACCTTGCAAACCAAAATTCTGCCCACGTTTTACTATTACACATGGAGACATCAAGCTGGCTGGCTTCAAGTGAAAGAAGAGGTAAAAAATATATTAATAAAACAATTGTCATTCCTAACACAGAGAGAAATAACTGGGCTTCTCTCCAACCTTTTCAAAAAAAAAAACAAACAAAAAACCTTTGAGGCTTAACTAATTTAATTAAGTCTCACAATTCTCCCCTTATTTACAGATGTCACAGAATTAGTAAGTGGCAGAGCAGAGGGCTGAGCCCAGGCAGACTCCCAAATTCGGCATCCAGTGTTTTGCCATAAGCTACAATAATACAGTACGCATTTACATCTTCCTCTTCACACACACACATTAAAAAACAAAAAAAAAAACTGAAACAAAAGCTTCATGAAATATTTACTCTTACTCCATAGGATGTCCTCGCGTATTTTTTTTCTCTTTGTTCCTTTCTTTCTAACGCTAATGTCAATGCACTAAACTGACTGCAAAAACCATTACTAAGTGGCCACGGGCCCTCCACTACAGCACTGCATTAACGCTGCCTACCTCCTGCCTCTACTTCCTTTCAACTGCGACCGCAGTCCAGTTTCGTTACTCAGAAGTGGAGCTCATCTCCCGGACCCATTAAAAATTGTCCTTAAATAGATTAAACCGCTGACAGCCCTCCCTCAAATCTTGATCTGTTCCCCCACCAGAACTCTTCGGAGGCACACCCATCTTACTTACTTACATTGTATCAAAAACTGCAGACGTTCTCCTTGGAGAACAACAGATCATTGTGGACAGGAACGCGTCCGTTTTCACTGGTCCCGCTGCACCACCCACCACAGTTAACAGGCAGGCAGCTTTGGGGGCAACAACAGGGGACCTGAGCAGCTGCCCACGGTGCTGAAAAATGAGGATGAAGCGACAGTTCTGGAAATTTGCTTTTGCCAGATTAGGACAAAATAGAGGAAATTACCGAAAGCTGGCAGAGAACACTCAGTGGTTGCCACCAAAGTTGCATGAGAGCCTCGAGGCCCGCGTGGCCCCGGGGTCTGCCCACTCCCTGTCTGGGACAGAGTTTCTTCAGGGCGGGTCAACCCTAAAAGCGTCCAGGCAGGGCTGCTGACTTCTAAGAGGGCAGGGACGCGGAATCCGGCCCTCGCGGAGTCACGTCCCACTTTCCCGTCGGAGCCTCCGGGGGGGAGGGGGGGTTAGAAGGAACGGAGGTGACTGCCCTCTTTTTTTCAAAGACTCAAGAATCCCAGCAACTTGCAGTCAAGCGATTTCGCCCGCGACTTTGCGACAAGCGCTGGACCCGGAGGAGCCTTCCGGACATCTCAGGAGGGGAAGGTGAGAACAAAACGGATAACCGACAACCGAGCAACACAGCAGCTCGCGGGATGGGACGCGGCGGACGCGGCCCTCCGCGGGCAGGGCTTTTACTTTCCTTTTGCAGACAGCCTCCCTGGCTCGGCGCCCCGCCCGGGGAGGAGCGGCCGGGCCCCCAGCCGCGGGCCGCCCGGAGCCCCGGCGCGCGAGGGGGTGTGTTCTGCGGGCCGGGCCCCCTGGGACAGCCCGGCCCGTGCGCGGCCAGGCCGGAGCGGCTCTTACCTGGAAGCCTGGCCCCGCCGCACAAACAGGCTGGGCGGCCGCGTCGCTGCGGGAGCGTCCCTACCCCGACTTCATGACTGAAGCTCCGCACCGACCCCACAGCCCGAGCGGAGCGCGGACGACAACACTGCGGCCGGGCGGAAGTCCCGCCCCGCGCGCCTCATTGGCCCGCGCGCGGAGGCCGAGGGGAGCCATTGGGCCACAGAGCCGCCCGCCACGGCCCCTTCCCACTTTCACGCCGCCCTGGCTGCGCCCCGGCCCCGCGCCGCGAGGAGCCCGGGGCGCGGAGTCGCGCTCTCGGCCGCGTGACCAGGCTGCCCGGGCAGGGCCGGCGGGGCAGGGCGGGGTGGCCTCTGGTGCGCGGGCGGAGGCCCTGCTCTGGCGGGGAGGGCGCGGGCTAGCCGAGGGGGTTGGCTGTGGGCGCTTGCGCGCCTGCAGCGGAGCCCCTACGCTCCGGAGGGGACGGGACGGACCGAGCGGCGGGGCCGGCCGCTTGGTCCGCTCTGGCTGTGGGGCCGGAGCTGCCCGACCCAGCTGGCGGGCTGCCCTTGGTCGGGCTGACTCCGCGCCTCTCCTGCGCCACGCTCCCCCGACCCGCTAGAGAGGCGAGGACGAGGCCTCATGCCCTCTGCACGGTGTCCAGGCTGAGATCGGGATGGACGGGACCGAGGCCACCCCTTGGGGTCCGGGCGCGACCAGCCTGCGAGCTGGCTCGGAGCCGAGCTGACGTCAGCGCTCTGGGCCTGACACGGCTGTCCCGGGCTCAGCAAAAGGCAGACCATGTGATGAAGGGCTAGGTCAACACTTTAAAACCTTGCCTCCTTTTGATGAACCGTAAAATGTCGTCCCCTACCGCCATTCCGATAAACCTTCCCCGTCCGGGTGTTGCAATCTTAAACCAAGCCACTTTGAAACTTAAATTACCCAGATTGGACCGTCCACGCGGATTAACCAGTTACCAACTAGCCACTTTAAAGAGGCAATGTGGCTTAGTGCAAAGATTGCAGAGTCCTGAATTAGAATGCCAGGAGACCTATATTCTGGTCCTGCTTTTGCCTCAAAATAAGGCGCCTTGAAAAGGCCTTTACCGGCTTCACATCCTTCCCGCTCATCTTTTAAACAAAGGAGGGGCTAGAGGGGGCTACCACGTAGAACACCTGTGGAATATCATTGCCAGTAACTTGTAACCTTGATTGCTCAGAGGAGACCTGAGTAGCTGGGACACAGGAATGGGAGGAAGACTCTTCCTATTGTGTATCTTTTTGTGCCTTTTGAATTTTGAACCTTGTGAATATTACTCAAAGAAACGTTAAATACGGAAGTTTAAGGATCAATTACAATAAAATAACATAAAGCCCACCAAAGGTACTTTCCTTTGGTTGTGTATCCTATGAATGTATGTTCTATATATTCTGCAATTTTCATCGGCTATGAAGACATTCAATACTTAATACATAGTCCTCCTTTAAGAAAGTCGTAAGTAAAAGTCAGAGTTGGGAATATTACTATGAAAGCTAGTGTAATTAGTGTAAACATAGTTAGAATATCTCTATAAGCATTTCTTCATTAAATTATCTCAAATTGATTTTATATTAAATCAGTTTTCTAGCATGACATCGAAAAAAGTAAAAAATAATGTCCACATTTTACAGGTTAAAAAAAAGAACAAAGAAGAGTTTTGTTTATTCCTTAAATAAAGACACATTAAGTACAGGACATTTAATCTGACTTTATTTTGCTCTTTAGGTCACGATGGGTATCGTTCTTCCAGCTACGAACAAGGGAAGGCACTCTGTGCTGCATCCAGGCAGAGGAACTGTGCTACACCCTGGAGACCCATTTCTTCTCCCCTTGGTGTTGAATGAAGGCAAATTGGAAGAAAATAGATTGGAAAAATGTAATTTTTTGAAAAGTAGATTAGACAGTAAGGTTGATAGCTATCTTAATTATGGTTTTCAAGAACATGAAGGTTTCATATAGCATATGATACTAATAGCCACTAATTATCTCTTTATAAAAACAAATAAGAGAAAATGAGCTTTTAGGACTTTGTGTTTGAGACTGTTTTAAAAAATCCTCCTGAAAGTACAAAACAGAAACCATGTAACATTGTAGAATTTCCTGCCTCCAAAATATTGTAAGACAGCACCAACAACTAAAAAGACAAGATGCCCAATTACTTAATTGTCTAAAATGGCTTAGAAGTAGTTCTTCCTAGGTAATAAAAAGAAAGCAGGCAGTCTCTTTAAGCAATTAGATCAACTAGAGACATTAAAATGAATAGAGGAATTATTATATTTAGAATCAGAAAACAAAGATAATTTTAGAATCACATAAAAAGCTATTTTCATTTTGAGAAGAAGAAAATAAAGTTATTACTGTGATAAGAGAACGAATAGAATCCATAGGAATCCCTACATGTAGGGAGAAGGCACATTGGGAAAAGTACCAAACAGAATTTCTAAAAACTGTTTTAGGAAATTTTTAGCTAAATATTGGAAAAGACTCCCATTTCTTTATGAAGTTCCAAACAAATGAATAAATTCATTTTATAAGATAGTAAATTAAAAGTTCAGAACACAAAAAGTCAGGTAACAGAAGGGTTTTTCAACAAAGTTTATTTATTTTCAAGGAAAAAAGGTCGTTTAAGGTTAAAAGCCTAAAAAAATGACCTGGTCATTGTTTCCCTTGAGCTGAGTTGCTTCCTTCTTTTGTGTCTAAGATGACTGACACACAATTTCAACTTTTCCTTTCTTATTTGGGGCATTGAAAGGCAGTCTTCCTCTGTTTGCTAACAAAGGTATTGCAAAATAAGCATGCAAAAATTCATATGACATAATGTAGTATAAAGACGTAAGAACTCAGGAGTGTGAATCAATTCAGTCACTTTGGGAAACAACTTCGCATTATCTGGGAAGGCTGAAAAAAAACCATGTTCTATAACACAGCAATTCCAGTCCATGGAATATACCCTAAAGAAACACAAAAGAAATTCACCTTTAGGTACACTGTAGTGAAATTTAAAGAAGATCAAAGAAGAACCAAAGTTCTTAAACAGAAAGAACAATAAATTACTTACCAAGGAATGGCAGCTAGCTTCTCAATAGCAACAACAGAAAACACAACTCAATGAAATATGTTCAAATGTTAATATAAAATAATAATTACAATTGTCAACCTAGAATTGTATGCCATGTTAAGCTATCATTTAACAGTGAGAGTAAAATAAAGATATTTTCAGAGGAAAAACAGCATTTACTCCTAAGAGACTTTTATTGAAAGGACTTCTAAAGATGTCTTCAATAAGTGAAAATTGAACCCAGAAAGATGGGCCGAGCGGCCCACCCCATGCCCAAGCGGTTAGGTTCACACGATCCACTCCGTGGCCCGGGGTTTCGCTGGTTCGGGTCCTGGGCACTCTTGTCAGGCCATGCTGAGGCGGTCCCACGTAGCACAGCCAGAGGCACTCACAACTAGAATATACAGCTATTTACTGGGAGGGGCTTGGGGGGGAAGAAAAAGAAAAAGAAGGGGTGAGACGCAAGAAAGTATGGAGAGCAAGGAAACTGAGCACAATTTTTAAACCAGTAGATATAAAAAAGGGAATAAAGAAAATGTAATTACTCAAAAGAAATCAGGGAAGGAGCGGGGGAAAGGAGCAAATAAAGAGTATTGTAAATGGCAAATACAACATGAGATAGAAGGAATCTATCAATAATCTCTAAAAGAGGTAAATGGGGTTAATTTACCAGCTAAAAGATTGTCAGCTATATTCTTTTAAACAAGACATAACACTAAAACTTAAAGGACACCAACAGGTTGATAGTAAAAGGAGGGGGAGAGATATGCAAAGCAAATAGCAACCGAAAGAAAGCTGGTATACCTGTATTACTATCAAAGGGTAAAAAACAGACCTAAAGTCAAAAGCATTGTTATTAGGATAAGTAGAATTATTAAATAATGATAAAAGGAAAAATTTGCAAAGTAGTTATAATTGCGTTGAACCACCACGCACCTAGAAACGTAGACTCAAAATATTTAAAGCAAGAATTGACCAGCTTACAAGGAAAAGTTGGCAAATCTACAATCAGAGTAGAATTTTATAAACCATTTTAAGTAACTGGTTAAGTAAGCAAACAAAACATTAGTAAGAATATAAAATATTTAGACAACACAGCACACACAGAGAAACTTGCAAATGTCCTTTTTAAGCACACATGAAATAATCCTTCCCACATGGCAGCATATGATGTTATCACACAGATATCAAAGACATAAAGGCATATAACCCAGGTTATATGATGAGAATACAACATTAGGTTTCAACTATAGATAGAGTAGATATTTTTTAAAATTCTAAGGGAACACTATGAACAACTTTAGATAATAAATATGAAAAAATATCAAATGGATGGTTTCCTAGAAAAAAGTTTGAACTTACCAAAACACCTGAGGAGATGAAGGAAACCTGAGCAGGCTAAGGAAATTTAAACAGCACACAAAAATCGGCAACCCTGCCCTCAAAAAAGGCAGCTCTAGAAAGTTTTAAAAATGAGGTCACCATACCCTCAAGGAATACATGATAAAATTTTCACAAACAGTTTCATAGAATTCAAAGAGAAAACTATTCAACTAATTCCATGAGGGCAGTAGAACCTTGATACCAAAACTGAGCAAAGACCGTACAAGTAGGAAAACTTATAGGCCAATCTCACTTTGAATGCATATGCAAAAATCCCAATTAAAACATTGGTAAACTAAAACCAGCAAAGATTTAAAAAAAAAAAAAAACTATGGCCAAATAGTATTTATTCCTGAAATGTAAGATAACATTATAAAATGTATTCCTATGATTCACCACATTAAAACAGTAAAAGTGAAAAGCTAAAAGATCATCTTAATATATGCAGGAAAAGCATTTGAGAATTAAAGGAGGGACCCATATTGCACAAGACTGTCCGAGAAACCTCTCTGAGAAGTTGACATAGGGTGAGACTTAAACAATGAGGGTTCTTAGGTTGTGAGCCACAGGCGCCAACCCTGGTAAATTCAAGTTTAAAAAGGCAATTTACGTGAAGGATATGGAGATACTCACAGGATTCAAAGGATGCCTGAAGTACAGCCTTAATTGTCCCACG